TGATGGGAGAGTGGGGAGAGAGCAGGGTACAATGATGGGAGAGTGGGGAGACAGCAGGGTATGATGATGGGAGAGTGAGGAGACAGGGTACGATGATGGGAGAGTGGGGAGACAGCAGGGTACAATGATCTGAGAGTGAGGAGACAGCACAGTACGATGATGGGAGAGTGGGGAGACAGGGTACGGTGATGGGAGAGTGGGGAGACAGCAGGGTACGGTGATAGGAGAGTGGGGAGACAGCAGGGTACGGTGATGGGAGAGTGGGGAGACAGCAGGGTACAATGATGGGAGAGTGGGGAGACAGGGTACGATGATGGGAGAGTGGGGAGACAGCAGCATACGATGATGGGAGAGTGGGGAGAGAGCAGGGTACAATGATGGGAGAGTGGGGAGAGAGCAGGGTACAATGATGGGAGAGTGGGGAGAGAGCAGGGTACAATGATGGGAGAGTGGGGAGACAGCAGGGTACAATGATGGGAGAGTGGGGAGACAGCAGGGTACAATGATGGGAGAGTGGGGAGACAGCAGGGTACGATGATGGGAGAGTGGGGAGACAGCAGTATACAATGATGGGAGAGTGTGGAGACAGCAGGGTACAATGATGGGAGAGTGGGGAGACAGCAGGGTACAATGATGGGAGAGTGGGGAGACAGCAGGGTACGATGATGGGAGAGTGGGGAGACAGCAGGGTACGATGATGGGAGAGTGGGGAGACAGCAGGGTACGATGATGGGAGAGTGGGGAGACAGCAGGGTACGATGATGGGGGAGTGGGGAGACAGCAGCAGTATACCATGATGGGAGAGTGTGAGACAGCAGGGTACAATGATGGGAGAGTGGGGGAGACAGCAGGTACAATGATGGGAGAGTGGGGAGACAGCAGGGTACAATGATGGGAGAGTGGGGAGACAGCAGGGTACGATGATGGGAGAGTGGGGAGACAGCAGTATACAATGATGGGAGAGTGTGGAGACAGCAGGGTACAATGATGGGAGAGTGGGGAGACAGCAGGGTACAATGATGGGAGAGTGGGGAGACAGCAGGGTACGATGATGGGAGAGTGGGGAGACAGCAGGGTACGATGATGGGAGAGTGGGGAGACAGCAGGGTACAATGATGGGAGAGTAGGGAGACAGCACAGTATGATGATGGGAGAGTGGGGAGACAGCAGGGTACGATGATGGAAGAAAAAATTGTGTGTACCCTTTAAAGTGGAAAAAATATACAGCAATAGGTGAATAAAACGTATAGGATAATTTACCTATATGTATCTCCCACAATGTAGAAAATAAAGGACTCCTCCCAGTCCTCACAGAAAATACAAACAAAATTGAAATCTACAAAAGGGGAGAACAAAACCACTCATAGAGTAGTATTTCAAAACCAATAAGCATATATGGTTCAAGGTTGCACTCACACAAATTGGTTGATTGTAGGCAGGTCAAAATTATAAAGATGGTATAGAGATGGTATGAACTCTTCAAACTCCAAAAGAGGGCAGGTGGGAAATTACACAATACGTGCAAGTGTAAATCGCACTGGGGCCCAACCCTACGTGTTTCGTCCGGTAATCCGATCTTCCTCAGGGGTATCGTCTGTTAAGTCCTCAATGTGAAGTCAATCTGATGGCTCTTTAGTGTCCGCTCTTTTTGAATCCCGCTAGCCGCTTCTCTTTCTAACAGCAGACCAATCCGATGCTGTGAACCGCGGCTGTAGCACATCACTCCGGGATTGGATGACGTCATGTCTTCTTCCATACAAGTGGACGTAAACGTGTGCGTTCCATCTATGCGAGGACATATAAAGCGCTTGCGGGTCATTACTCGCATTGAATCAGTTCATACAACATCTCATAGACACTCATAATTGGAAACAATATTGCAAAAAGATAATGTTACAAAATGATGTCACAAGAATTAAAACAAAAAGGATATTTACATTTCAAGCGTTCTTTTAGACCTGCACTACCATACTTTTTAAAAAGAATACATAAAATATAAAATAATGTTCCAAAATAATACCAATACTTTATCCTCTAAATTAATAAAAAAAAACTGTTAAAACTTATACTCTTAAAGGAATTTGATTCCTATAAAACAAGATTGAATTACAAAAGACATGATCAAATTGAAAAAAAGATATAAAATCCATAAGTGAAAAATCAAATCAAAACAATAGGTGACAAACCCCAAATATATCAATATAAAAAGATAATTAAACCTATATTAAAAAACACACTAAATCGAATTCTACATTCAGACCTCTTGGTTGTAAGGTTTTTAATCCATGAATCCAAAACCCTTCTCTTTTTCTTAATTTTAACATAATATCCCCCCCCTCTTTCATCTAAAATACCTGTTCTATAACTATAAAGAGAAGGGTTTTGGATTCATAGATTAAAAACCTTACAACCAAGAGGTCTGAATGTAGAATTCGATTTAGTGTGTTTTTTAATATAGGTTTAATTATCTTTTTATATTGATATATTTGGGGTTTGTCACCTATTGTTTTGATTTGATTTTTCACTTATGGATTTTATATCTTTTTTTCAATTTGATCATGTCTTTTGTAATTCAATCTTGTTTTATAGGAATCAAATTCCTTTAAGAGTATAAGTTTTAACAGTTTTTTTTTATTAATTTAGAGGATAAAGTATTGGTATTATTTTGGAACATTATTTTATATTTTATGTATTCTTTTTAAAAAGTATGGTAGTGCAGGTCTAAAAGAACGCTTGAAATGTAAATATCCTTTTTGTTTTAATTCTTGTGACATCATTTTGTAACATTATCTTTTTGCAATATTGTTTCCAATTATGAGTGTCTATGAGATGTTGTATGAACTGATTCAATGCGAGTAATGACCCGCAAGCGCTTTATATGTCCTCGCATAGATGGAACGCACACGTTTACGTCCACTTGTATGGAAGAAGACATGACGTCATCCAATCCTGGAGTGATGTGCTACAGCCGCGGTTCACAGCATCGGATTGGTCTGCTGTTAGAAAGAGGAGCGGCTAGCGGGATTCAAAAAGAGCGGACACTAAAGAGCCATCAGATTGACTTCACATTGAGGACTTAACAGACGATACCCCTGAGGAAGATCGGATTACCGGACGAAACACGTAGGGTTGGGCCCCTGTGGGATTTACATTGGTTTTTATTTCATTGATTTTTAATTTTATTTGCTTTGTCACATTTAATACATTTTCTATACTATTACCCAGGAGTAACATTCCATTCTTGGAGTAACAACCTTCTGAGACCATTATATGCCTGAACACCACTTCTAGTGTGTAAGTGTTACTTAATCTAGCGCACTATATGGTCCTTTAAATCTGCACTTATTGTGTAATTTCCCACCTGCCCTCTTTTGGAGTTTGAAGAGTTCATACCATCTCTATACCATCTTTATAATTTTGACCTGCCTACAATCAACCAATTTGTGTGAGTGCAACTTTGAACCATATATGCTTATTGGTTTTGATATACTACTCTATGAGTTGTTTTATGCTCCCCTTTTGTAGATTTCTATTTTGTTTGTACGATGATGGAAGAGTGGGGAGATAGCTGGATACGATGATGGGAGAGTGGGGAGACAGCAGGGTACGATGATGGGAGAGTGGGGAGCCGGCAGGGTACAATGATGGGAGAGTGGGGAGACAGCAGGGTACGATGATGGGAGAGTGGGGAGACAGCAGGGTACGATGATGGGAGAGTGGGGAGACAGCAGGGCAACGATGATGGGAGAGTGGGGAGACAGCACAGTGGGATGGGGACGATGATGATGGGAGAGTGGGGAGACAGCAGGGTACGATGATGGGAGAGTGGGGAGACAGCAGGGTACGATGATGGGAGAGTGGGGAGACAGCAGGGTACGATGATGGGAGAGTGGGGAGACAGCAGGGTACGATGATGGGAGAGTGGGGAGACAGCAGGGTATGATGATGGGAGAGTGGGGAGACAGCAGGGTACAATGATGGGTAGTGGGCGGACAATCCCTTTTGCCGCTGATTGATTATAGATTATAACCTTATCTTAGCTAGCTGACCTAACTTAATAACATAAATATATAATGTCTCACAAAAAGACAAATAGTTTTTATTCTTCCATTTGGTGTCTGGGAGCAAATGCTGCTCCAGTTAAGCGTGAGCAAAGTTCTTACACATTTTGTTTCTAATTATTTTCAACTTTCTCATTGTTCACACTTGAAACGCGTTGAGCAGATATCGACTCGTGAATCTGAAGCAGCTGACGGTGAATCGCTTGGTCCATACTTGTTGCAGCTTTTGCACAGACTGCCAGACCGGGAGATTTAGCCTATTTTAGGCATCAGCACTTTAGCACATATTGATTTTTTCAATTGTGCCACATCGTTTGTGAGTGTTTTAATTTATGTGTTTTTATCACTTTGGAATTAAAAGTTTGCACTATGATGTATTCTCTTTTTATATCTTTTATGTGAATATTCCTATTTATTCGCTAGAGGGTAATTATATCCAGTCTTTATATTTGGTGATAAGTGGCGCCCTATTTCTGTATAGTATATACAGTTTTGTTTTTTGCACACTTGATCCTTTTAACTTGTTTTTTGATGATTTTAATAAATATCTGCAAAGTACAAGGCTGTAGATATTTTATTATATTATATGTACATCATCGAGATTTACAGCCAGTTACAGAAAATGTCTGCAGCACCATGACTTACATCTCAATCACAACGCAAACAAATTAACATTCCATACAAAATGTTTCACTCAAAATTTTCAGCAGTGTTCCATAAAAAGTAAAAAATAAAATAAAAAAAAAGTAGTTGCAAATACAAAAAAACATACCTGTGTATGAAAATGACCCAAATAGCAAATAAGGTGGGGAAGAAAGAGGACTTGTTGTTTAGTTATCTGATTTCTACTTATGCCCCCCAGATAACTTTACTGTGTTACTGGATTCTACAGGTTAGGAGGGAGAGACACAAAGGGAACCGTACACAAGTACTGGACTCAATAAATTAAAAATATTATATTTATGGAGCGGATACATAAGGTGATAATAGATATCCTCATGTATTTATTCAAAGAGTAACATTATCACTTCCGTATATAGAAAGGATAAAAGCCAATAATATGTACAGCGCAAACACCATACGTACCCTAACAAAATATGTAAATGACCCAGGTTTAGGTAAAAGATGACTAATTAGTATACTGCGCTCCTCCAATGCCCAGTACAGGCCCTCAGAACTATACAAAAAAATTATAAATAAACAGAAACTCAGGAATAATATATATATAAAACCGATAGAATACACAGTGCGTCACCAACATAAGGTACTGAAAGGTCCTTTGGTCTGTAACCTCAGCAAGTTTCCCCAAAAAAGCAGCTCCAATAATTCCAAAGCATGTGCCACAAATGGGGAAAAAAGATTAGAAAAAAAGGGAAAGAGGCAAATTTGTTTGAGAAGCAATTAGTCCGAGAGCAGGAGAGTCTGACCCAACACGACTACCAGATGTTTTTTTATTTTTTTTTAAAGTGCAGTTTTCTAACAAAGTAAATAAAATGGAAATACATTATCGTTAAGTTTCAGTAAATACCACGAAATCTTTGAAAATGTTAAGTGAACATTTGAACAGTTGATGACGGTTGACCTTCAAGTCTTCTTCACGATTCCCATTTCATTGTAGGCAGCTATCTGGTTTGCAGCCACTAGGGGGAGCTGTGATGCTCTTCTTTTTCTTTTTCTCTCTTTTTTTAATTAATTAATTCTCTTATCATGATGCAGAAATTAGGGAAGAAACGGCATTGGCCAGCCCTAATCATGCACGTTATTGTGCAAAATGTTTTTATCAGCAGATAAAACGTTCTCAAAAACAGAAGAATGCATATAATTTTCTTTTTTATAACCATGGTTTTTAAGTAAACACACACAATGTAAAAGACAGAACGTTTTACATTACGATATCTGGTGCTGCAATCCATTGTGAAATGAGGTGACGTATGTCCGTAACACAACAAAGAAAAACAAGATACACCATGTCATAAATTATAACAGCCACCACCACGTACATTGGGAAATACATAGGCCGTGGTTACCAATGAGGTCCCTATTCTGGGGCAAAGTGCTAAATCCTGAGAAACGTTTTATTGGTTTCCATGGTGACTGCTTTCTATTGATCAATTTGCCAGACAGTCACGTCTCTTTGTATTTTGAATGGTCTATCAGGCATAGGCAACCTTCAGCACTCCAGATGTTTTGGACTACACCTCCCATGATGCTTTGCCAGCATTATGGGTGTAATAGTATTATGGGGGATGTAGTCCACCCCACAACATCTGGCGTGCCAAAGGTTGCCTATCATTGTTCTAGATTCTTTGTCTCTGGTCTAGATACAGATTGTACTGAGCAGGCCAATGAAATGTCTCCTGCATGCGATGGGGTTAATTTACTATATAACAAATTGTGGCGACTTGATGGCTGATTCGCAAAATTTAGTCTTAAACAGCCGAGAGCCATAAAATCTCAAGTTTAGCCGAAATGTTGGTGCTTTTTTTTTTTTTAACTCTTTGCTGTCTTGGCGTAAATGTCGCAGGTTGGTACTTGTCATCGCAAATTGCTGTTTAGCAAGTGAACATCTCGCTAAACAAACATCCATAACGTAGACATGATCCGAATATGGATTTAAAAGCCATTAGATGTGTCCGGAACAGCCAGAACAATAAAAAAAAAAACAAGTTTAATGTGTATACAATTTATTTTATAAAATTGGCCTAATTTTATCCTAATTTAATACATTTACTGCTGTATATGGCCCCCGAGGACACTAGATTGTCAACGTATTACTCGTAAACTCAAGAGAATTGCAAATGTCCATTATTTGTTGGTTTTAACATTGTAAAATTTGTCATTCTGTTGTAATTTCTCTACAATTGAATAATTCTAAAAATATAATTATTAGAAAGACACTATTAAGGGTGGGGTGAGGTCTGCGCCAGTTCTAGATAATAAATATTTCATGTCACATATCAGCCACTTGGAAATTTCAACCTAAAAATTGTACACTTATTGATTCTGCAAACTTGCCAGTTAATAAAAGTGAAAATATTATTATTATTATTATGGTATTTATACAGCGCCGTCAAATTCTGCAGTGCTTTACAGTGGGTGGACGAACAGACATGTAGTTGTAACCAGACAAGTTGAACACACAGGAACAGAAGGATTGAGGGCCGTGCTCAATTAGCTTACATGCTAGAAAGAGTGGGGTAAAATGACACAAAAGGTAAGGATAGTATTAGACTAGTGACATTTGCAGAAGAGGAATCAGTCAGGAGCTATTAACAGTTTAATTGATACGCTTTTATAAAGAAGTGGGTTTTTAACGATTTTTTGATTGGAGACTGGGTGAGCATCTATAATATATTAGTGATATATAGTATAATAGGTATAGTATAATAATATAATAAGTATTATAATAATAATAATATAATAATATAATAAGTGTTTTATGTCAAATTTAACCCATAAAGGACTAATAATTAATCAGACCCTTAAATACAAATTATCAAACTGATCTGGTACTTCCCTTTGCTGGAGTTTAGTAAACGGTATTTCTAGGGGACTTCTGAGTATTTTCTAAATGTTAAAGTTATATACATTTAAATATCATTTGCTCTTTGCCACCAGTATTCAAAATGAATTGCTAACAGGATTTTAGTGAATTACTACCAGATTTTTCTTTAGTGTACCTATAGTCAGGGCTACGTATTAAATAGATGTCCCCACGGGAGGCCAGATTCTGGGGGAATGGACTAAGAATTTTAATATTAATACAAATTCATGAGAATTTTTTTCTAAATCCTGGTAAAAGGAAAGGGATAGAAATGAAACCCATTATTTCAATCTGTTCCCACCCGAGACAACTCCTGGTCCAGGTCATATTTGTCAATTTCAGTTGTTCATATCAACCTTTGGACACGGAACATCAGAAGATGATGGAATGGTGACAGCAAAGATCGTGTGACCAGGGTTCTTCACTTCTATATCTGGCGTACACATGACTTGCCTCCCGTCCTCATGCCAGTAATAGAGATGAGGCATCTTGTCTGATTTTTCCATCAGTGGAACCTGGGTAGGGTTCATAGAAGGTCTTCTCCTAATGTCACCCATACTGTATCTCTTCTTACCAGGCTGGTATGGGCTTGGATCAGAAATCATTCCGAGATGACAAATCACTGTTAGTGTTTCAGTAATTACCACATTAAGATGCCACCATTTAGAGTAGATGGCCTTCAAATTATTATCAGATATCCCTAGTGCAGGTATACCCAATCTGAGGGCTTCCAGTCTGGACAATGATAGTACTAAGCAGTTGACACAATGTAAAAGGTGGGATGTTATTTGTGAAAAATAAAGGGTTTGCAGGTGTTGACAAACCTTTGTCTAGGTCAGGGGTCGGCAACCATCTTCACTCCAGATGTTGGGGGCTTTATCTCCCCTGATGCTTTGCCAGCATTATAGCTGTAAGAGCATTATGGGGGATGTAGTCCACGATATCTAGAGTGTTAAAGGTTGACTATCCTGGTATATGAGTTAAATCGTTATATCCTCTCTGTGCAGCCAGCAAGGAGGTGTTACTTCTTTAATATAAATGAAGTGTTTATTACTGTGTGACAGCAGTTACATCTTACAGAGACATTCACAGCTTCCAGAATCTCACAAACGGAATGGATGGGAAGGAATATGCAGCAGTAATGGGGCTGTTATCAAGTTTTGGGGGAAAGCAGGGTGTTCATAGAGTGTTACAAAAGATCAAAATTCTACATTTCACTACGGATGAACAAAAGAATTACACGTTTCATAAATTTAACAGGAAGATATACAAAAATAACTTGAAATTCACTATTATAATGTAATGTCTGGACTGGGAGAGTAAACAGTTTTTTTTCCTATAGTTCAGAAAACACCAATTCTCTCTTGTTCTCCCACCTTTGGTATTAAAAAATTAAAGTAAAAGAAAGATTTCCAACACCTGGTCACCTCCACTGCAGCTGCCTGCTGATGTCTTCCACCATGTGCTCCAATTCCGTCCTTCTCATAGAGAAACTTAGCATGCGCGGCCAAACGACGCACTCCTCCAAACAAGTTTCACTCAAATCAAGGTCGAGTTTAACTCGGTTCTGAAGGAGGAAGCGCCCTTTGTGGCTGTCGTTCAGCAAGACAGCCCTAGAGGCGTATTTAACCCAGCAATGCAAACACAGCAGGTTCTCCAATGTTTTACATTGCACGGTTAAAGCTACAGGTCCTTCATTGAGATAAAGTGCTCTGGGTGATTTTAGTGTTTCTTTAAACAATAAATGTGTTTTCCTGAACTGGATTGCTTACCGTCAGCTGTCTTATAATTTCTTTAGATCTTATTGTTACTGCAATAGCATACTTATCGGTAGAGTTTTAGGGGTACTGCCTAACACACCGAGATATCTGATACAAATCTGCCACTTTTAGTTTGCATTAATCTACTAATCTAAACGTGTTCTACATTCACGGAATTAGAGTATTATTGTCCTTGTAGGATCTCAGAGGGTTGAGGTGTCTGGTGGGATCACTTTGCATGGAGTTTAGAGTTATTCAGTTCTAAACTGAGGTCTCATTTTGACGTTGGTGTAGAATTAGGTAGTGGCATCCACTATAAAGCCCAAACACTAAACAAACCAAAGCCAAGGCAGTAGATAGAGACCCCAGAAGATAAAGAGACATTCTCTTTTCTGCAGGAAATCTCACCAGGCAGGTGAATGGCCCAGTGCACAGTTCTGTCGAACAGGATATCGAGCCCTCAGACACAAGTGGCAAATGCCAACACAAGAGAATATAAAGAAATGCTAACTCCCCGACCAGTCTCATGAGAACACAGCCAAGATAGAGGACAAGTAATTTTTTTTGGTGGTGGAAATCCAAAACTACATCTTTTTGGGCCAACTGTGTAGACCAAGTGCCGGTCAGCGCGGATTCTCCATGAGACAGTTTGTCCTTCAGCGCCGCTTTGGTGAGGTTGTGACGGAGCTGAGAGGTGAAAAGCTCCATGATGAGCAGAGATGCTATAAAATAGACATAGCAGGAGTTCCACAGAGACACGACCGCCACGTTAAAATGTCTGCTAAAACAAGACTTCCGGCAAAACTCGGTCATATTTATGCCACCACAATCAAAGTCTTGATCCAGTTTGCCCCAAGGGATTTCGGAAACATAGAGAGCAATTAGTCGAACCACAGCAAATCCGAACCACATGGTCCGACCATTATAGTCGGTGGTGGCCTCTAGGGCAGTGCGCAGAATGGGGATAAGACCTGTGACCATCGCCATGGCTGTGAATAGAAGAAAAAGTTTTAATGTGAGTGGTGGTCTGCACACAATAATCCATGGTCCTTCTTCATAGGTCTTTCATTTTTTTTGGACCTGATTCTTACAGGATTATTGAGGTTAACAGATAGTACGAAGGACACTTTGTCTATTGATGGAATATGTAGCTAATGAATGGTGGACTACATGTTATATTTGTTTATGTATGTGTAATAGTTTCCATTACGTGATTAAAATGTGTTTTTGTTTTAGTATGTAGGTAACAAATTCTCTGCTGTGCCCCATCCTCCTCTGAGCAGGAGGTTAACACAAAATCTTCTCCATCAATAAAACACCTTTTACAGCCTGTTACTTCCTCTCCTGCTGGGAAAGTGACTGTATGCAAGGAAGTATGGTCTCCTACCTACCTACTTCTGCATTTTTCCGAGTGTTTTTGGAAGTTAAAAATCTCTTATAGAGTTACGCAGAGTAAGTTACTGGAACCGTGTAGCGGATGGCACTGGGCTGTCCTGCAAATGTCCTTGAAATAATTGCATTCGTGTGATCTGCTAGTTTTCTATGTGTTTTAAAGCCTTGTATTCTTTTGATTGTTCGGTAGTTTCATTCCCTTAGTTTATTCGAATGAAACTACCGAACAACCAGACCTCCCCTGTGTAAAGTGTGTCCTCAATTACCCGTTGCAACATTGTTGCGAACGGGTAATTGACTAGGAAGTAGCCGTCCTTTGTTCTCGGGGGTGGCCGCCATTCGACAAACTAACACGTGGCGGTGGCCATTTTAAAACTCCCGAACAGCAGTGTTTTGCCGTTGAGTGTCTGGAACTAAAATCGGACACTCGAGTAGGCGAACACCGCTGAGACCTCCACAGCCCTGGTCCGTTCGGTTCCAAACTACCGAACGGCCCCTCATTCGGTAGATCGAAAATACCGAACGAGGGGATTCAGGCGAACCCTCCCTAGCCTCTATAGCTAGAGGTTTTCGTGTATTTTATTTCCTTATGCCAGGACCAACCGCAGGGCCCATTCACATGGAACCGGATTCAGCTATCTCTGTTCGTGCGGTCGGTCACTTTATTCCCTCCATACTTTTCCCGAACCCCTGGTCTGATCTGGGTGATTTTTGGATATGTTGGTCCCCCAGATCAGGGCTACCAGGGGATGTAGGATTTAAAGAGGTACCCCTATGTTTAGGGGTACATCCAGAAACGGGGGGAATTACTGTACTGGATAAGGGGATTATGATGCTGGCTGAGGGGAGGAGATATGTGGGAGGTTACCAGGACAGGATTGGCTACTGTAATAATTACTGTAAATCCCTCCCTTGCATGGGAGCATGCTTTATAAGGAGACTGTGGATTAAAGCTTTCAGTTCTGCTCCTGAAACTGTGTGTCGTCCAGTTATTGGGATTGCTGTTGGGATATTGCTGTATTTTACCTGCTGGAAACCTTGCCTGTGGATTTACTATTTACTTGTTCCTAAGCCTCACTTGGATTATAAGCGGAGATAACCTGGGGAATATTGCATCTCCGCTACAAACCGCAAATGCTGTATTCAGGGTAAGTGCTTCCTTATGCATAAACGTATGAATGTGATATAAATACAGACGTTAACTGGAAATATTATCCTATAAAAGAACATTCATATATTATTTCTAGTTATCTCTGTATATTCTCTAACAGTTTTTAACGTTCATATATGGCGTTGAATGAGAATAACTCTACACTGTGTATTTTTTCTGTACTTGCTATGAATTTTATGATATTATATCACAGTAGCTCAGAGGGTGCTATCACTAGTCCCTTTGGCTATTTGTGTGACTCAGTCTGGGGGAATCAGGAAATCCGTGAATTAATTCTCCTTTAAGGGGGACATTGACTATGATGGAGCCTATAGTAAACACATAAGGGTGGTGGCCCTTCCATAAAGCCTAAAGCTTGGATTATACACCTGGTAACAAAAAACTCACAACACACTTTACAAAGACAGGTAATAAATACTATATGTGACTCAGTGGTAAGATGACACATGAACCACGCCAGCTATTTGTATAGTTTCAGCCCATGACCATCGGGTGTAAATGTACAGAATATAACTTTCCATGAACGTCCCTTCTTAAAGGAGACTTAGGAATCTCTTGAGAAAGCCTCACATTATACAGATCCTGGGGGCCCCTGCAGCATCAATTGAAAAATAATTCTAATAGGTCCAAGGCAGCAGGACATAAGAATCCAGTGGAACCCCTCCAATTCCCCTCCTCTTTTCCCTTTCATGATACTGAAAATCCGGCTATTTCACATCATCAAATCTTGGGTAAATGCTAAATGCACTATTATTTCCTCTGTAACTAAGTCTGGATTCATAATTATCCTTTAATCTTTGTTTGATTTGATTTGAAACAGTTATACTTAATATAGGAATGTTAATTCTCTCACTGTGCGAAATCCCAAATAAACTCACCTGCTCTGGAGTGAGGAATTAAAAATAAATGTAAAAAATCTTGATTTGCGTAGACAGATATGAGGTGTAATCTCTCGGCAGCTAGTTTAGGAGTAAGATGTAGATCAGATTGTCAAACAGATTGTCAGCTCCTTAGCTTTAAATGCCACACAGGATAGTTGCACATTATAGAACACCGTATACAGTAGATTGTAAGCTCTGCAGGACACAATGGTTTCATATTAGAAAAACGCAGCGCCGCAGATCAATTCAGCTTTGCCATCCAGGAACAGGCCTTGTAGATAAGATTGGTAGTTGTGTGGATCAAAACAGTGAGACGATGAAAGATTCTATTGGAAGCTTCACAGATCAGTACCTCGCCTGGTTTTGTCCAATTAGACAGTAAGCTCTGCGGAACAGATGTACATTTTAAATCATAACTGGAAATCTGTCTGTGTTTGGCGTGGGTCTGTCTCATTCTAAGAACGTGTCCCTCCTGGCGAGAGACTCCCTCCCCTACTCAAATGTCTTAAAAGAATAAAATGTGGTTATTCCAGTTTCTGTAACATGTTAACCCTTGGTGTTTGGGATCTTGTAACGATGTACACCTGAGTTAAATGAGCTATATCCCCATGTCATAAATCTGAGAATTACTAGTTCCCAGCCAGCTCGAAAAACCGGTTAGCACTCGTGGAGCTGCGGCTAACCGTGATCAATGTATGGCCGTTTCTGAACATGAGGGCTGTGTGATGCCAGGACAGTTGTGCACATTTCCCAAATTCTGCGACTGAGCTGTGCTAACATGCCAGAGAGCTGGTGAGGGCGACATCAACTGCCCTCAATAAAATATTCTGTTTGCCACTTTGTTCAGCCCCAGCAATATCCAAGCTGTATTTGGGCCAACACAGAAAGGCCACCTTTAAAGGGACACCCCAGGCCCCTAAACTAGTTTATCTTGCTGAAAAACTTTATGTGTGAAGAGTGTGACCTATTTTTTATTTTGCAAAAAGTGCAGATTTAATTATAAATGGTCATTTTTATAAATTAACCTTGTTACACCCTCCTGGCTGTCAATCAGACAAGCGGTCCTGTCACTTCCTGGTTTATTTAGCTCAGTGGTAAAGAGGCAGCAATTGCCCAAAGCACCTGCCTTGCACAGACTTCTCATTGAGCTGCATTGGTAAGTCTTTGATTGGACAACCACAGGAAGTCTGGGAGGGGCTAGAAGGCGAGGGTTTGCAAAGGCTGCAGACAAGAAAACTGCAGGTTTTGCAAGTTGCTTTATATATGCATAAAAATGCATATTTAAATGCATGCAATGTTTAATTGTGGGGTATATCTATTGAACAGTGAGTTTTATTTATTTTGTATTTAGGCAGTGAAGTGTCCGTTTAATGATTAGGACCCCTGGCATGATTAATGACCATTTTACCACATGCCCATTCCTGCTCTCCTCGTTTTCAGTAGTAGCCCATTTTCCCCCATTCCTCCCTATAACACCATCACTTGTCTTCCAATAAAATCCAAAACCCAGCCAAAAACATTTCTCCTGACTCTATGTTACTAGTTTTCTACATGCCATTATCTATACATTGTGTCTCACCTGCCCCTTTCCTCTTTAGATTGTGAGCTTATGGGCCAAATGTACTTTAAGTTTAGTTTCTGTATACTATGCACTTTATTAAAGTATATCCATTGTGGACTTGGATAAATAAATATTACCAATGATAGAGTCACTTTGCGACACATTACTTATTTGAAGAAATCAATGGGGTTACTTGGTCATTATGTAAATGAATGCCTAAAAAGATTTATTCTAGAAACGAAACTCTCGGTTTGCAAAACAGGCTGAGAGTTTCTAGAAAATAAGTTAGTTAGTTAATCTGGTGTTTTTTAGAAATCTTTCTTACTTCCATTATAAAGATTGTGAATATTCCCATAGGACTGGCACCTCATTACTCTCTGGCACCCATTAATGATTTATCACTTCAGTAAATGTGAGGTTAGTCGATTCTCCCCACTGTTATGAAATATTCCGCTTCCTGATTGAGAGATGCAGCCTGTGTTACAGCAGTGTAAGCCAGTGTGTCTCGTTAGAGCCACAGACATCTCCGGAGGGGGAGAGGGGGGGTTAGAACAGTCAGCCGAAATGTCCTCATAGTATCTGACAGGAACATGTTAAAACGAAAGTATTGCATAAACAGCAACAAACTTCTCCCCATTAAAACCTGAGTAATCTAGACTAACGGACAGCTTTGGAGTATAAGTACGGGTATAATTTGAAATTTCAATGTATATTTCAATCTGTGAACAAATAAGCGACATTTATAAAGAGCTATCAGAACCCTTTATTGGCGACGGCTGATATTAATTAGGAGAATTGGGAAAATACACTATGCTAGCTCTCGTAGGTTTATTATAGAAATATTGACATGAAAAGAGCACAGTAAAATAGCGCACCTCGTGAGAGCGCCGTGGTAATGGCTTTTAACCCTTAGAGTCATAATGGCGCTCAATGATTTCATTATTATTTATAAAGCGTCAACAAAATCTGTAGCGCTGTACAATATGTGGACGATCAAGTATTTGCAGGAAGACAAGTTGGACGCACAGGAACAGAGGGCGTTGAGGGCCCAACTCAATAGAGCATGGAGTGTCGCGCTCCTGAAATCCTGCTACTCTGCTAAGCTAAACGGGGTCACTGGAGGTGGTATGGTCTGTTACTCCCACTACATTTAACCATATGTAGTCTGCCTCAGAATGATGGGAGTTAAAGCCCACAGCATCCTGAGCACCCCTTAACCTGAAATATCATCACAATTCCTCAACCAGGAAGTACAACAATGTACCCCTTAAACCTTTGTGCTCCAGTAAAAAAGACTATCCCTACCTCTGCCATTATAACAGAGGGCTTTCAATGGGTGCGGTACTCTGCTTTGTTATAAGTGTATTTACAATAATACAGCACCCTTATAGGTCCCCCCAACATTGGCGCATGCTGTACTCTACTATTATTATTAACGGCGTTTATATAGCACCAACGTATTCCGCAGCGCTTTACAGTGTTATAAAAGGGGGAAATTTCACAATAAATTAAATGAGACAATTACAAAATGTTGCAAGAACAATAGGTGGATGAGGACATTGTTCTAAACAGCTTGCAATCTAGTCCTATTATTGCTAGTGAATGCAGAACGGAGTGAAAAATCTATCCCATATAGTACACGCTCCCTGCTGATCGAATTCACTGCTCAAGAACTTAAAATGACTCGACGTTTTTAGAGATTCTTGATAAAACAAGAGAACGTTTATCATATGAGCAATTCAAAAGAAAAAAGAAAGAATTGAGCCAATGCTTAAAACAAGAGTAGGGACAGATACTTAAGAGATTTATAGGAAGAAATGGGGGTTAAGCCCGGGTTGGTTCATTAATGAAAAAGGAAAACAAAAATAAATATCAAAAGGTGTAACTGTCTATGTGAGAGCAAACCGTGTCTAAATATAAGAGGCTTAAAAATTAATTGAAATAACGGTGAAAAACCAGTCTGTGAAGGTAGCTGTCAGTTATTGTGGCTAGATACACGATAATAGCAGACTGTTTCACCGTTATTTTAATACATTTTTAAGCCTCTTATATTTTGGCAGTTTGGGCATAGATGGCCGCTTAGTGGGAAAGTAGGATTTTGGGTAAGGGGTGCCCTCGAAGGCACATTAGCCTCTACCTCTATCTTGATTAGGCTTCGATTTACTCAATATTAATTTAGACATTTATTTATTTATGATATCTCTCCACCACTCCTAAGCTAATAGGGGTTCTAATAGGTCACCAAACAAATTAAAGGGTGTCAGCTTTATCGAACACAGTTGTAGTGACTGAAACTGCAGCTACCCCTATTCTTACCCTACTACTAACTATTAAAGATTTATACTAGGAACCTCAGCCCAGTTTAACGATATAGTGGAAACATATCCGTTTTTATTTTATATTTTTACTAATTTTGTTATATACAATTGTACTTATTTTAACTTACTATAATAAAAGTCTTGTTAGACACTGTTTGCTCTCACATAGACCGTTACAACTTTTGAAATTTATTTTTATTTTGTTTATTAAATGACGTTTTACAACGATGGGAAATCAGATTTGAGTAGAAATGTTTTTACTCACTCACCCTCCCTATTCTAACTCTCCCTTCTCTCTACCCATTCTCTAGAATTCAGTGTTAGTGTCTACATATAGGGAGAGATTTATAAAATAAAATGTCTCTAATGGGAGTAGGGAGCAGAAATTGTATAATCGCCAGGAACATTCCAATGGTTTCCATAGCAACTTCTCCACTTTTAGAACTTGTCCCCCAAATTGCTGTTTGCACATAACCCCTAGTTCCATATCGCAGACTGCATGGCAAGGAGCGTGGAATAAGTGTGAAAGGAACATTATTGCAAAAGATTTATTAAACAAGGCAAAAAAACATTTATCAACACACAAATATATAATCTAAATGTACAGAAAATCGATACCTACAATCTCTATTCTATTTTGTAAAGTTCCATATATTTGAGATGCACGAATATAAACTGCTACGAAATGCCACTCCATATATATATTTACATATAATATGTCAGCTCTTTCAGACTACAATTCACATCATCCTCTGAAAGGTCCCAAGCTACGATGGACTTAACCTTGTCACATGTTTGTGAAGTAGTTTCCAGGTGTCTGTGAATCATGGGAAATTTAATTCACTAACATCTCACACACCATGGTTGCCGATTATGGCACTAAACAGTGAATATTGATGAAATAGCCCGCGATTTGTAAACTTTGGGGTAAAATTTAGTACTACCGACATTTTACTAAAAATACCCTCATGTATATACAAAGAGAGTATTTAGAGTTGTCGTCGATGATGATAGGAATTGTAGTCACACTAAAGCTGGATAGTTGCTTACTGACTTGGTTACTTAGTTACTAGACACAACCCTCGGAATCTTTGAGTACCGTGTATAATGATGCCAAGCATCTCTGTACTGACATAAATAAGCTGCTCTGTCTATTAACACTGAGTATTTCTGTATTAATGGGAATTATTATCCTCCTATAATTGTACGGCGTATTCTGACACTGATAGCGGGCATTGCTGTGCGGAATTTTAGTTTGCAGACCTTTATGCATAATGGAGAAATATAGACCACAGGAATAAAAAACACACAACCCCCCCAAAATATCCCTTTAACTCTTCATGCGCCAGAGGGCAACAAGCAGAGATTTGCAGTTCTCTTATTGCGGCATTTGAAGAGTTAAACAGATAACACAATTCTTTGAGTACAGTTCATTATTTGAGTTCCCATAGGAGTTTGTTATCCAATTTCGAGGTACTGGCTAACTGTCCTCCTTTGCTATCGCATCATCCCCCTTTTCCCCCAACTCTGGTTCCAGGGGAGGGAGGGGAAATTGTTCCTCCTCTGCCCCTTTCTCCGTTGCTGCCGTTTCCTCAAAGTCCTCTTCCAACAGTGGCTTCTTTTCATCGGAAATATCAGAAGTCTTTTTACTTTGCTTGTCCTGGTCACTGGCTACCAACTCATCCATCTCCACCACTGAATCCATCCTCTTCTCACCAAATGTAGTCATCTCCTGTTCTTCCCCAGCCTGAGACTTGA